AAAGCACAAAAATTAGCCAGGTATGGTAGCACACACCTGTAATCCCAGCTACTCAGGAGGCTAAGGCACTAGAATTGCTTGAACTTGGGAGGTGAAAGTTGCAGTGAGCCGAGTTCGCACTGCATTCCAGCCTGGGTGACAGAGCCAGACTCCATCTCAAAAAAAGAGAAAAAATTAGCTGTGCATTTTGGTTTGTGCCTGTAATCCCAGCTACTAGGAAGGCTGAGGCAGGAAAACTGCTTGAACCCAAGAGGCAGAGGTTGCAGTGAGCAGAGGTTGGGCCACTGCACTCCAGCCTGGGTGACAGAGAGAGAGCTTGCAAGAAAGAAAGAAAGAAAGAAAAAAATGAACATGGCAGATTTGATGCATAGTATGAAAACTGATCTGACTGCATTGAATGACTGTTTTAGGGATTATCAGAGAATAACACTGGCTAGGTAGATGGAGGAAAAATTAAGGAGGAGCTTGAAAGAGAGCAGAGAAGTTTTGTCTTCACCCTATAAATCCAGATATTTATCAGAGAATTGACATGATATAGATATAAGAGAGGCAATATATAACCTAGTAATTAGAGAGCATAGGCTCTAGAGTAAGGCAGACCTAAGACTCAACTGTGGCTCAGACTGTTTTCATCATGACTACTGTACTTTTACTATATCACAGCTTTGAAGCTATTATCTTTGAATCCTGGTATGGCAAGGCGTCATTGTTACTTTCTCTCATTAATTGTGCTAGCATTCTCCCTCTTTCTTCTTGTTCTAAGTATTCTTTTATTTTTTAAAAATCAAGGAACGATTGAGCAACCGGGCACCAAAAACTTGCTAGCATAATCCTCAGTTACATTTAAAATACTTGGAAAATTTCATTGTTTTGAAATAGTTTGACTTGAACTTAGTTAAAATTTACCTTCTATTGGTTTTCTAGGAAATAATGCAAACAAAATGATATGATCCCACAAAGTATTAAAAAATTAACTTTGTGAAGGCTTTTGCATGTGTATTGTTTTAATGTAAAAGGTGGGGCTACATATAAATAGCTCTTAATTTACTTATTTTTGAAACAGAGTCTAACTCTGTCGCCCAGGCTGGAGTGCAGTGGCACGATCTGGGTCACTGCAACCTTCCGTCTCCTGGGTTCAAGCAACTCTCTTGTCTCAGCCTCCTGGGTAGCTGGGACAACAGGTACAGACCACCACGCCTGGCTAATTTTTGTAATTTTTAAGTAGAGATGGGGTTTCACCATGTTGGCAGTCTGGTCTCAAACTCCTGAGCTCAAGTAATCCGCCCACCTCAGCCTCCCAAAGTGCTGAGATTACCCCACCTTGGCCTCCCAAAGTACTGAGATTACAGGCTGAGCCCTGTGCCTGGCCCAAATAGCTCTTTATTAAAGGAAAATGTTAGTAACTACATTACTTAAACTGCATGAAACTATAAAAATGTATTTTAATTGCATTTTATATAATTTTGATGCATAAGGAAGCTTTTGCTGCTGCTGCTTCCTCTTCTACTTCTTTCTCTTCCTGTCCCCTACTACTTTCCTGCCCCTCCTAACTATGACCTCATTAGCTATTTTTATGTAACAGGAAAATCTGTCAGTCATCTACAGGATGCATAGAAGTGGGTAGATACTGAGATTCTGTTATAGGAATCCAAGAGTAATGTTAAAAGATGCTATGGATTCTAAACATTCCAGCTCACCAAAGCTGGTTTGCTTGGCATAACTTTTACAGGTTTTACTTAGGACTGAGGCACTAAATTTGCCTCCCACTAACAGGGCTGGAACAGAGGTATAACAAAACTAGTGAAAACTACTAGGGATAGGAAGATGTTCCACACTCCCTAGAGTGCAGACAAGCGCTGAAGACTGACCCCTGTGCCAATCAAGGAGCCAGAAAGAAAACATAGGAAGAAATTATCAAAGACCCAGAAGTTATTAAGAGAAACCAGATAAAGCCTATTAGCTGTTATAGTGAGATCCAGAGAGTGAGAACCAGAAAGGTTATTTGAACAGGATTAGGCTATTGCCTTACAGCAATGTTGGGGGTGGCTACAATCTAGATTGGAAGAGATCAATGAGTAACAAAAGAGAACTTTAGAGAAATTTGGCAGGAAAGGAAAAGATGGACTAGCAGTTTGTGGGACAGAGTCATTTTGTTCTTGAATTTTTAAAGGTCTGCATACTTGAATGAGTTTCGGGCCAAGGGAAAGAGGCCAGTAGTGAAAATTTGAGGTAGAAAATAATTTGAGTACAAATAATAGAAGAGATGGGGCCAAGAGAGCACAGGTTAACATTGCTATTGAGGACAGACACATGTTTTAAAGATAGGAGTAGTAGACGTAATGATGATGATAATGATGATGATGCTGATAATGATAATGCTGATAGCTAAAGTTTATTGAAGAAACTGTTCTAAGAGCTGTACATGGATTATTTTATTTAATCCTCACACTGATCCTTTGAGGATGAGAAAACTGATACAAAGTGAGGTTTAATTTGTTCAGTGTCACACAGCTAGTAAACACAAATGCAGGAATTAAATCAAGGCAGTTTGACTTCACATCTCCACTACTAAGATAAATACAAATAGATTTTGAATTTTGGAATTCTTGAGGATAAAGTGAGATAGACGGAATTGTGTGGAAGACTTGACGAGAGTGGAAGAAATTTGGAACAACTACTTGTAGTCAATATGGGAGGAATGGAAACACTGCAATGTGGGGAACATAACTGAGGAGGAGAGCATAAATAAATAGTAGACGCTGACCTTTACTTGTTTGCAACTTTCTCTAGCAGGGTCCCAGAACAGATGTAGAATTTGTTGTTGGGAGTTAGGGAAGTCAAGGGCAAGGGATTCTAAACCATTACTAAATGTATTATTAAAACATTTGCTGGAGTGATGTTAGTGAAAAGAGCAATGAAAGGAACTCAAAAATTACACTCCTCCATTAAAACAATAAAAAACTGACAAAAACTGTCAATCTCAGCTCTTTCAGAACTCTGGAAAGTAAACAAAGTCTGGCAACCACCTGGGCAGCACATATTCAAAAAACGTGGATGAATCTTAGTAAGAACAGTGAACTTTGTGACATTTTAACATGTTGTATTCCACTCCCTCTTCCCTAGCTCAACAGTAGCTTTGAAAATAAAAAGTTACATTCCCAGTACTGAGGGGAACAGAGCAGAACTCACTGTCTCCAAATTGCCATTATTTGATTTGTTTAGAAGCTCCCTGGAAGACTGGTTTGAAAGGCATGCCTTTATCAGGACACAGGGCTAACAGCTTTTCCCCAGGGAGTGTTTCTCAGAAACATTCAGAGGCATGGGTTTTTTTTTCTTTGCTTTTTTTTTTTTTTTTTTTTTTTTTTTTTTTTTTGACGGAGTCTCACTCTTGTCACCCAGGCCAAAATGCAATGGCACAATCTCAGCTCACTGCAACCTCAGCCTCCCAGGTTAAAGCAATTCTCCTGCCTCAGCCTCCCAAGTAGCTGGGATTATAGACACCTACCACCACGCCCAGCTAATTTTTTTTTTTTGTATTTTTAGTAGAGACAGGGTTTCACAATGTTGGCCAGGTTGACCTTGAGCTCCTAACCTCAAGTGATCCACCTGCCTCAGCCTCCCAAAGTGCTGGGGTTATAAGCGTGAGCCTCTGTGCCTGGCCCAGAGGCAAGTGTTTCAATGATTAGATGTCTGATGTATGTGATAAAGAGTTTATATCCAAAATTTATAAGGAACTCAACTCAACAGCAGAAGAACAAATAGCCTGATTAAAAAACGTGCAAAGGATCCAAATAGACATTTTTCCAAAGACGACATACAAATGACCAACAGGTAAATGAAAAGGTGCTCAACATCACTAGTAATCAGGGAAATGCACATTGAAACCACAATGAGCTATCACCTCATACCTGTTAGAATGGCTATTATCAAAAACACAACATGGAGATTCCCCCAAAAAATAAAAATAGAATTACCATATGATCTTGCAATCTCACTTGTAGGCGTATATCCAAAGGAATGGAAATCAGTATCTCAAAAACTATCTGCACCTGCATGTTCACTGCAGCATTATTTACAATAGGCAAGATATAGAAACAGTTGAAGGGTTCTTTGATGGATGAATGGATTAAGGAAATGCGGTATGTAATGGAATATTATTTAGCTATAAAAAGTCACAATAATTGAAGCAGAGAGTAGAATGGTAGTTACCAGGGGCTGGAGAGTGGGGAAAATGGGGAGATGTTCACTGAAAGGTACAAACTTTCAGTAAAAAGATGAAAAAATTATGGAATGTAATAGACAGCATCATGAGTATAGCTAATAATACTGCATTGTTGCCTTGAAATTTACAAAAAGAGTAGATCTCTCTTTGTGTCTTCACCACATACACACACATATACACAATGGTAACTATACTGATTGATGTGTTAAATAATTCGTGATAATCATTTCACAACATAACATATATCATGTTGTACACTTTGAATACATACAATTTGTATTTGTCAATTATATCTCAATAAAGCTGGGGAAAAAAGGAAAAAACAGAGAAAATGAATGAAACCAAATTTCGGTATTTGAAAAGATGACCAAAACTTAGACACCGTTAGCTAGACTGACCAATTAAAAGAAAAAAAGAAGGCTGAAATGACTGAAATCAGAATAAAAGAAGACACATTACCTCCAACCTATATAGAAATAAAAAGTATTATAAGGGAATAGTATGAACAATTGTATGCAAACAAATTAGATACACTAGATAACATTGACAAATTCCTAGAAACACAGGACGGACGCAAGAAGAAATAGAAAATCTATATAGACTTGGAACAAGTAAAGATATTGAGCTAATAATAAAAATTTTCCCACAAAAATAGCCTCTCACAACCAGACAGCTTCAATAATGAATTCTACCAAGTATTTAAACAAAAATCAACTCCTATCCTTCTCAAACTCTTCTAAACAGTAGAAAAGAAGGAGGACTTCCTAACACATTTTTGGGGGGATACTTTCCGGCAAACACCAGAAAGCCTGCTAGACAAATTCTAAAAGAGCTGTAACACTCCTAACACATTTTTATGAGGTAAGTATTATCCTGAAACTAAACTAAACCCATATGCATCACAAAAATAAAACCTATGACCAATCAGCTTTATGATTATTAAAGCAAAACATTAAACCAATCATAATACTAGCAAAATGAATCTGGTAACATATAAACAGAATTATATAATATTATGATGACAAGTGGGATTTATCCTGGGAATGTAAGGTCGATTTAAACACCCAACAAACTAGGAATAGAAGTGAAATTCCTGAACCTGATATAGAGCATGTATGAAAACCTCATAGCTCACATCACACTCAGCAGTGAAAGACTGGAAGCTTTTCCACGTGAATCAGTAGTAACACAAGGATGTCTGCTCTCTATACTTCTATTCAACATTGTCCTGAAAGTTCTTTTTTTTTTTTTTTTTGTGATGGAGTTTCGCTCTTGTTACCCAGGCTGGAGTGCAATGGCGTGATCTCGGCTCACTGCAACCTCCGCCTCTCGGGTTCAGACAATTCTCCTGTCTCAGCCTCCTGAGTAGCTGGGATTACAGGCACGTGCCACCATGCCCAGCTAATTTTTTATATTTTTAGTAGAGACGGGGTTTCACCATGTTGACCAGGATGGTCTCGATCTCTTGACCTCATGATCCACCTGCCTCGGCCTCCCAAAGTGCTGGGATTACAGGCTTGAGCCACCACGCCCGGCCTGTCCTGAAAGTTCTAATGAGAGCAATTACTCAAGAAACATAAAACTCATTTAAATTACAAAAAGTATAACTATCTTTGCAGAAGACTTTTTTTTGAGATAGAGTCTCACGTTGTCACCCAGGCTGGAGTGCAGTGGCATGATCTCAGCTCACTGCAGCCTAGACCTCTCTGGCTCAAGCCATCCTCCTACCTCAGCCTCCCAAGTAGTTGGAAACACAGGCGCTGGCCACCATGTCAGACTAATTTTTGTATTTTTAGTACAGATGGGGTTTCACCATACTGGACAGGCTGGAACTCCTGGCCTCAGGTGACCCGCTCGCTGTGGCCTCCCAAAGTGCTGAGATTACAGGCATGAGCCACTAAGCCCTGATGACATAATCTTATTTATAGAAAATCTTTTTTAAAAAAATTAAAGCTAACAGGCCAGGGGCGGTGTCCTATGCCTGCAAACCCAGCACTTTGGGAGGCTGAGGTGGGTGGATCACTTGAGGTCAAAAGTTTGAGACCCTCCTGGCCAACATGGCCAAACCCCGTCTCAACAAAAAATACAAAAATTAGCCAGGCATGGCGGCTAGCGCCTGTAATCCCAACTACTCGGGAGACTAAGGCAGGAGAATTGCTTGAACCCGTGAGGTGGAAGTTGCAGTGAGCCGAGATCATGCCATTGCACTTTAGCCTGGGCAACAGAGCAAGACTCCATTTCAAAAAAAGAAAACAATATTTAGGGCTAATGAATTTAGGGCTTAAATGAATTAAGCAAAGATGCAGGATACAAGATCAACATACAAAAATCATCATTTATATTTATAAACACTAAAAATGAACAATCTGGAAAGTAACTATTTAAAATTATAATTCAAGTAGTGGAGCTCAGTGGCTCACGCATGCAATCCCAGCATGTAATCCCGTCTCTACTAAAAATATAAAAAAATTAGCGAGGCCTGGTGGCACACGCCTGTAGTCCCAGCTACTCGGGAGGCTAAGGCAGGAGAATTGCTTGAACCCGTGAGGTGGAAGTTGCAGTGAGCCGAGATCATGCCATTGCACTTTAGCCTGGGCGACAGAGCAAGACTCCATTTCAAAATAAGAAAACAATATTTAGGGCTAATGAATTTAGGGTTTAAATGAATTAAGCAAAGATGCAGGATATAAGATCAACATACAAAACCATCATTTATATTTATAAACACTAAAAATGAACAATCTGGAAAGTAACTATTTAAAATTATAATTCAAGTAGTGGAGCTCAGTGGCTCACGCATGCAATCCCAGCATGTAATCCCGTCTCTACTAAAAATATAAAAAAATTAGCGAGGCCTGGTGGCACACGCCTGTAGTCCCAGCTACTTGGGAGGCTGAGGCAGGAGAATCGCTTGAACCGGAGTGAACTTGAACTTGAGGCAGAGGCTGCCGTGAGCTGAGATTGTGCCACTGCACTCCAGCCTGTCTTCAAAGTGAGACTCCATCGCAAAAAACAAAACAACAACAACAACAAAAAAAAAACAGCTGGGCGCGGCAGAGGACTAGCACTTCTCAATTTCAAAACCTGCTACAAACCACACTAATCAAAACAATGTGGTACTGGCATGCGGATAGACATATAGATCAATGGAATGGATTAGAGAGTCCAGCAGAAACCCATACATCTAAGGTCAATTGATTTTCAAACAGGTGTCAAGACCATGCAATTGGAAAAGAATCGCCTCTTCAACAAATGGTGCTAGAATACATGGATATTCACATGCAAAAGAATGAAGCATTGCCCTTACCTCACGCCATATAAAAAGATTAACTCAAAATGAACGAAATACCTACATATAAGAGCTAAATTTGTAAGTCTCTTAGAAATAAACATAGAGGGAGGGGTGTGCGCTCCGTGGCGCGTTGTGCGCGTGTGCGGAGTGCCCTGCTGCCCCCAACCGAGGGGAACCAGTTTGCTCCCAGTGGTAAGCGGCGTAAGCAAACAAGCCAACATGAGCAGCGACTCGTACCAGCACTATTTTTACGACTATGACTGCGGAGAGGATTTCTACCATTCCTCGACGCCCAGTGAGGACATCTGGAAGAAATTCGAGTTGGTGCCGCCGTCCTGTGACTTGGGTCCCGCCGCCGAGGATGCGGCCCCCGGCTTTGGTTCCCCGGAACCGTCTCTGGTAGGATGCACTGGGGACAAGACGGAATCTCAGGGGCATTTGAAAGCGTGGGACGCGAACTACTCCCCTCTCACCCGCAGCGACTGCATGTGGAGTAGCTTCTCCGCCCAGGAGCCGCTGGAGAGAGTGGCGGGTGACCCGCTTACCGTTGGCGCGCCCTCGGGGAACTCGCCCAAGGAGTGCGCCACTTTCGACTACACTCCCGAACTGGAAGCCGACAGCCTAGCGCTCACCTCCCAGTGTTTGCTGGGCGAGGCCAAGATCCAGGCCTGCTCCAAGTTTGAGAGCCCAAGCGACTCCGGGGGTAAAAAAGTCGACGTGACAGTAAAGAGGCAGTCTTTGAGTAATCGGAAGCTGGTCACCATCGCGGTGCATGGAGACTTTCTGGATCCCTGCACGAATCTCTTCCACATCTCCGTCCACCGGCAACAGCACAACTATGCTGCTCCCTTTCCTCCAGAAAGCTGCTCCCAAGAAGGGGCTCCAGAAAGGGTTCCCCCAAAAGAGGCTCCAGAAAGAGTAGCTCCGTGGGGAAATGATAATGAGGATGAAGAGATTGTGAACCTCCCACCTGTAAAAAGTGAGGCTGCCCAGTCCCGCCAGCCCAAACCCATCCCTTACGATACTGAGAATGAGACCAAGAAGAAGAACCACACCTTTCTGGAGCGCAAGAGACGGAGTGATCAGCGTTCACGGTTCTTGGCCCTGAGGAACGACATACCCGCCCTGGCCAGCTGCTCTAGGGTTTCCAAAGTAATGATCCTAGTCAAGGCCGCGGAATACTTACAAGAACTGATAGGGGCTGAAAAGAAGATGGCCGCGGAGAAAAGGCAGCTCAAACATCAGCAACGGCAATTGCAGAAAGAATTAAGTACCTCACTGACCAAAAAGCCTGACTGTTCTGTTTGAAAAAGACACAAGTTTTCTTTTTAACATTCCTCTCCCCTTTATTAACTTGAACATTTTTGTTGCAGCAGAACACTCTGGACAGTAGATTGCAGAATACATTACAGCCCGTGCACCTACAATATAAAGGCTTGTGTTCTTGGACAGCTTGAAATCCAGCTCTCTCTCTTCCCTGACTCATGGGAGTGCCTTGTGCTTTTGGCACCTTTGGCTTTTCAGCAGGCAGCTGACTGAGGAAACTTGGGGTCTGCCTGGCTCACTATCTCCAAAGAAAATGTTGACAGCTGCTATGCAGCAGGTGGTGGATGTTGTTGGGGACTCCAGCCTGCAGGAAATCTCATATGCTGCATGAACTTTAGGATGGGAAAGGATGCTTCTACTGGTGTCTCTGGGGTGATGCAAGGACAGCTGGGTGTGGACAGTCTCCCTGCAACTCCTTTTTTCCCTAGGAGACACACAGCTGTCTTGGGTGAAGACAAACCTAGAGACTTGACCAACATGGACCATTACCTCACTGTCGGACACTACAGTAGCTAAGAAGTTGGAAACTTTATGTATATATGTATATATTATGATGTTGACTGACCCCCTTCCTCCCATTCTCAATGTTGTGATGCTGAGAACATTTAAAGAGCTTCGCCTTTAAAGTAAGTATTTGTCTTAGAGCCCTCTGGGCTCTCTTCTCTAAGGGAAGTAACTTTCTTTCCTCACAGGGACTTTGTCTCATTCTGCCTCTGTTATGTAGTGGGTTCTACAGCACCCTTTCCCACAGGTCAGAAATATTTCCTTAAGACAGAGGGAAATGGGTCTTAGCCTGGGGCCTGGGGAAAGTTCGGAGTCCTGGTTCATGAACTTGATCCCTACCCAGTTGTTTTCCAAGGGGCACTTAAGGCCCAATCTTTTCTTGAGGCAGGTGTGAGGCTAGGGAGAACTGTAACACTTCCTCTTTTCACACCTATCTCTCATGTCAATGCTTGACTGATGAATTTGAAGTTCTACTAGAACAATGCAAACTTGTTTTTTTCATGTATCTTCAAGGAGCTTGCTGGCTCTGCAGCCACCCTTGGGCCCTCGCACCAGCCTGCAATGAGTCAGATATCTTTCACAGAATCTAGGCCTTTCTGAAGTTTGCTGGAGAGCCATTAGGACTCACCCAGTGTTCCAGAAGGTGGACTTGCCTCCCGGTGGGTTTTAAAGGAGCCTCCAGGAACTCTACTTCTCAACCATGATGGATTTTTTTTTTTTTTGAGACAGAGTCTTGCTCTGTCACCCAAGCTGGCGTACAATGGCAAGATCTCAGCTTACCACAACCTCTTCCTCCCGGGTTCAAGCGATTCTCCTGCCTCAACCTCCTTAGTAGCTGAGATTACAGGCATGCACCATCACCATGCCTGGCTAATTTTTGTATTTGTAGTAGAGACGGGATTTCACCATGTTGGCCAGGTTGGTCTCGAACTCCTGACTTCAGGTGATCCGCCTGCCTCTATGATGTATTTTGCCCCAACTGGACTCTGCAGCTCCACGTGAAATCCAGGTGCAGCCTCCAGTCTGGGAAAGTCATCCAACCCAGTAGTTGTCATGTGGGTAACCTCAGGAACCCCTAAGCCTGTCCTGTGAAAAGGAACAGCCCTTCCAGATTTCTGCCTAGGAAAGCAGGTGCATGATTGGAAGTTGGGAGGATAGGGAATGATAAGTACTATTTGTGTCTCTGGAACACCAGCTGGTACTTCCAAATCTATTGTCCATAATGGTTTCTTCTGAGGTTGTTTCTTGCACTCAGAGAATTCCAGGGAATGTTTAGAAATAGCCTCTTTACCCTTGTGGAGCATGATTTACAAGAGTCAGCTGACTTTTGGAACTGTCTATGGAGAACAGGTTGAGTGTAGGTACTGATGTTTCACCTGAATAGCTTGTGTTTTATTAGCTGCTGTTTGGTATTATATTGGAGAGTAGTATTTTCTATATTGCATTTTTGTATGCCTTTTGCAAAGTGGTTTTAACTCTTCATACAAGAAAAAAGTACTCAGGCAATTCTTGTAAAAGGGGTCTGAATAACTTGTGTTTTGTCAGCTGCTGTTTGGTATTATTCTGGGGGTGGGGGGAGTATTTTTTATACTGCATTTTGTATGCCTTTTGCAAAGTAGTGTTAACTCTTTGCACAAGAAAATAGCTCTTGGGTAATTCTGTTAAAAGGGTCTGAATTATTTTGAAAAGCAAGTTTACCTGAAACTTTGTACTTAATTGTGATCACTGCTTGCCTGGTTGTAAAGTTTTACCTTCTCGGACATCTTCCAATAAAGGTTTTCTCAAGCATGTTTTATTTTATTTATTTATTTATTTATTTTTAATTTTTATTGGATTATAGGTTTGGGGTACATGAGCAGAGCATGCAAGACAGTTGCATAGGTACACACATGGCAGTGTGCTTTCTTTTCTTCTCCCTTCACCCACATTTGGCTTTTCTCCCCAGGCTATCCCTCCCCACCTCCCCCTCCCACTGGCCCTCCCCTTTTCCCCCCAATAGACCCCAGTGTTTAGTACTCCCCTTTCTGTGTCCATGTGTTCTCATTTTTCATCACCCACCTATGAGTGAGAATATGCGGTGTTTCATTTTCTGTTCTTGTGTCAGTTTGCTGAGGATGATGTTCTCCAGATTCATCCATGTCCCTACAAACGACACAAACTCATCATTTCTGATTGCTGCATAATATTCCATGGTGTATATGTGCCACATTTTTCCAATCCAATCTATTATCAATGGGCATTTGGGTTGATTCCAGGTCTTTGCTATTGTAAACAGTGCTGCAATGAACATTCGTGTACATGTGTCCTTATAGTAGATCGATTTACAGACTTTTGGATATATACCCAGTAATGGGATTGCTGGGTCAAATGGAATTTCTATCAAGCATGTTTTAAAGAAAAAGAAGTAAACATCTTCATGACCTTAATTTCGGTAAACGGATTTTTTTTGACAAGGCCTTGCTCTGTTGCCCAGCCTGGAGATTGTGCTATGGCACAATCTCGGCTCACTGCAACCTCTGCCTCCCAGGCTCAATTGATCCCCCGACCTCAGCCTCCTGAGTAGCTAAGACCACAGGCTTGAGCCACCATGCATGGCTAATTTTTGTACTTTTGGTAGAGACAAGGTTTCATCATGTTGCCTAGGCTGGTCTCAAACTTCTGAGCTCAAGTGATCTGCCCACCTTGGCCTTCCAAAGTGCTGGAATTACAGGCATAACCCACCATACCTGGCCTTGTAATGGATTCTTAATAGATATGACAAAACCACAAACAACAACAGAAAAAATAAATTGATCTTCGACAAAATTAAACTTTTTTTTTCTTTTGTGAGATGGAGTCTGACTCTTATTGCCCAGACTGGAGTTCAGTGGTTTGATCTTTGCTCACTGCAACCTCTGCCTCCTGGGTTCGAGTGATTCTCATGCCTCAGCCTCCCAAGTAGCTGAAATTACAGGTGCCTACCACCACACCCAGCTAATTTTTGTATTTTTAGTAGAGACAGGGTTTTGCCATGTTGGCCAGGCTGGTCTTAAACTCCTGACCTCAGGTGATCTGCCCATCTCAGCCTCCCAAAGTGCTGGGATTACAGACATGAGCCACCACACCTGGCCCAAAATTAAAACCTTTAAGCACAAAGATACATGAAGGATATTAAAAGACAACCTACAGAATGAAAAAAATTTGCAAATAATATATCTGGTAAGGGTCTACTATATATATTATGTGAAGAACCTGTGCAACTTAATAGAAAAAAAGAAAACCAGTTTTAAAATGGGCAAAAGACTTGAATAGACATTTGCCCAAAGGAGATATACAAATCACCAACAAGCACATGAAAAGAAGTTCAACATTGTTAGTCATTAGGGAAAAACAATTCAAAACCATAATGATATAACTTCTAACACACACTAAGATGGCCATAATTAAGAAAAAAACTCAGAGTATACCAAGTGTTGGCAAAGATGTGGAAACTGGAACTGTCGTAAATTGCTAGTGAGAAGGTAAAATGATGCAATCGTGGGAAACATTTTGGCAGTTTCTCACAAAGTCAGACATACAATTACCATATGATCTAGCAACTGGACTCCTAGAGAAATAAAAATATGTCCACACAAAACTGTACATAAATGTTTATAGCAGGATTATTCATAATAGCAGAAAAAGTAAAAACATCCAATTATCCATCAATGGATGAATGCATAAATGAAATGGGGTATGATATGATTTGGATCTGTATCTCTGCCCAAATCTCATGTCAAATTGTAATCCCCAATGTTAGAAGTGGGGCCTGGGAGGAGATGATTGGGTCATTGGGGAGAATTTCTCTTTTATTACAGTGCTTGTGATAGTGAGTGAATTATCACAAGATCTGGTGGTGTGCAGCACCTCCCCCACTTCCTCCTGCTCTGGCCATGTGAAGACATACCTGCTTCTCCTTCAACTTCTGCCACGATTTTAAGTATCCTGAGGCCTCCCCAGCCATGCTTCCTGTACAGCCTGTAGAAGCCGTGAGCCAACTGAACCTCTTTTCTTTATGAATTACCCACTCTCAGGTATTTCTTTATAGCAGTGTGAGAATGGACTAATATAGAAAATTGGTACTGGGAAGTGGGCATTGCTATAAAGATACGAGAAAATATGTAAGCAGCTTTGGAACTGGGTAATGGGCAGATATTGGAAGAGTGTGGAGGGCTCAGAAGAAGACAGAAAGATGAGGGAAAGTTTGGAAGTTCCTAGAGACTTGTTGAATGGTTTTGATTAAAATGCTGATAGTGATGCAGACAGATGTTACCAGAGAGGGCCTGATCCAGACTCCAAGAGAGGGTTCTTGGATCTTGTGCAAGAAAGAATTCAAGGCAAATCCATAAGGTGAAAACAAGTTTATTTAGAAAGTAAAGAATAAAAGAATGGCTACTCCATAGGCGAAAAGAGGGATATAAGTTCTCACTTTGGACCGTGGTTTGCAGGGTTTTTGACTTGAGAGTGGGGCTTCGCCAGGGACTTGCCCCTGTCTTCCTAGAATTTTTCTGTCCCCTGCCTTTATCATTGTATCATAATGAGCAGTGAGAATGACCAGAGGTTGCTTTCTTCACCATCTTGGTTTTGGTGGGATTTGGCTGGCTTCTTTAATGCACACTGTTTTATTGGCAAGGTCTTTGTAACCTATATCTTGTGCTGACCTCCTATCTCATACTGCGACTTAGAATGCCTAACCTACTGGGAATGTAGCTCAATAGGTCTTATCCTTACGTTACACAGCCCCTATTAATGATGGAGTCACTGTGGTTTAAATACCTCTGAGACATTTCCCCTCCCTTTTACAAGGGAACTCTTAATCCTAAGAGTTGTAGAGGGGAGATCCATCTTCTGTAACTTATTCAGGCTGAATGGGGCAATGATATTTCAGCCTAACTGTTAGGGTCTCTTGAAATCAGGATAGAGAAGAGCTCAGTCAGAAAGTGTAGGTATGGCAAGGGCCATTCATAACTCTGAGTTCTGACAAAAGGTGATATCTGGAAGATTAGTCAGTGTTCAATTTAAGAAAACATTGAGTAAGCTTATCCTGCATTCCTACAGAAAGAATACAACAGCAATATATTTCACAACAGTAAAACAAAATAAGTAAAATCATCCTAAGTAAACTAAATAAGGAGGCTTCCCATGAACTGGGCAATTGTTGGAACCAAGCTGATATGGGGTTGCTTGCCAATTACAATGTGCCCAGAATTAGAATATTAATCCAGATCTTTACATTACCCATACCTCTTGTTTTTTCTGAGCCACAGCCAGAGATCACTGGTTGGTTTACAGGAATAAGCAGAGTTAGTCTAAATTGCAGAAAAAAAAATTTAAAAAACAACTGAGAGTAAAGTTTAATAACAGATGTACCATAGTTCTTGAAACATAATTTTTCTCTCTTTGGTCTCCTATTTTTACTAAAGACAAATTATGGTAAGACCAATTTGCTTTATTATACTTGGCCTGATTATTTGTATAGAGTGCAGCAAGAACAGCACTTTGGGAGGCCAAAGCAGGGGGATGACGAGGTCAGGAGACCGAGACTAACATGTGAAACCCTGGCTAACATGTGAAACCCCGTCTCTACTAAAAATACAAAAAATAGCTGGGCATGGTGGCGCATGCCTATAGTCCCAGCTACTAGGGAGGCTGAGACTGTGGAATCGCCTGAACCCAGGCAGTGGAGGTTGCAGTGAGCTGAGATCGCACCACTGAACTCCAGTTGGGCAACAGAACAAGACTCTGTCTCAAAAAAATTTTTTTTCATTACTTTTTTATTATTACATGAAAATTATGTTCAAGAGAGAAAGTCAGATTTCACCCTTTGCATTAGTATACCATTGATGTTAAACCCACTCTTAATAAAACCTTATAGACAAATCTATTCAATTTTAATGTATGACCATAAGGTAAGATTCTCATTAATCTTTTTAAATAACGCTTCACAAATTTCTGTTACAGAGCAGATCAGTGTTCTAAGAAAACTCTGTTGTGTTTTCATTCCAATGTTCAACTTACAGAAAAACTGAATAATTCTTCTTTAACTTTAGCCAATAAGTTCATACATTACAAGATTAATTTTTTACATACCTTCCACAACCTATTCAAACCTTCAGCTTTATCCTATCTAACTTAAAACAATCCTTTAACTCTCTAAACTAGGTCCCCCAAAATTTACATTCCCTTGCCTTCTTATAATCTTTTACCAAAAACACATTTTACTTTCCTTACATAACTTGCATGTAAAACTGTTTTTTGCAGTAGCCTATTAAAAGGCATTACAGTTTTTATTTTTCTGACAAAATATTTAAGTGGTTACTTTTTATGCTAATTAATTAGAGCTCATTCATAGATAAACATTACACATACAGCACATATAAATATACAGAAAGATAGAAGAAGATCCAGTAGTTGCAAGATTTTTCATTTGCTATTTTCCTTTTTAATTTTTTTAAATTTTAGTTTAAGTCCTGGGATACATGTGCAGAACGTACAGGTTTGTTACATAGGTATACATGTTCCAGAATGGTTTGCTGCACGTATCAACCCATCATCTAGGTCTTAAGCCCTGCATGCATTAGGTGTTTATGCTAATGCTCTCCCTCCCCTTGCCTCACACCCACCTACAGGCCCTAGTATGTGAAGCGTTTTGCTTCCAATTATGTGGTTGATTTTAGAATAAGTGCTATGTGGTGCTGAGAATGTATATTCTGTTGATTTGGGGTGGAGAGTTCTGTAGATGTCTATTAAGT